TATTTCTTTTCATAGCTTTTTTTCCGCCGAGTTCGTAGTTTAACGGCTAATGACGACCAAATATGTAAAACGTACTTAGCTGTGATATTTTACTTTTTTAACTTAACCAGATATCAAACTATCTCAATTTTATCAAAATCAGTTCAGCAGTTTAGTCATGAAAGCTAGACAGATTATCGCATTAAAATAGAAAAGTATGGATTTGTCATACACATTAATAGAATAGAATAAAACAGAATAGAATAGAATAATTTTTATTCAATATAGAGTATTACATAATACTTATTGAAAGTCATTTTTTATTTACCACTGGTTCGAAAAACACCTCAGTCCTGGGAAGAACCAGCAAGAAACCCAGCGAGACTTTTTTTTAAAACATATTTCAATTTATAATTGTTTTTTTTTGTTTGTACAAATTTTAAATGAGTTTGAATAGAACTAGCATGGTGACGATCACCTAATTCAGGGGTTTTCTTTTTCACTTAGGTATTCTGTGATATTATAATCATCCTTTCTGTACAATTTTTCTTTAATAAAACATTTAAATTTATTTATTGACAATTTTTGTACATTTTCTGGGGTTTTGTTGTAAAAGCGCAAACATTACCCCATAAATGAATTACTAATTCTGTGGAGTCTAATAACTGGTATTACAAGCTTATGTTTGTTGCTGGTGTTTAAATTTAAAGTATGAACATCTTTATTCTTATCAAAGCTATTTATGTTTTTATGTACATACATTACATTTTCATAAATATAATGCGATGCCAAAGTTAATATGTTTTACAATTTATGTTATAAATCACCCGTACGGCTCGGTTTTGCAAAACAAATATAGCTTCGATGTCAGCTGCATTACCTCATAGCAAAATTCCATAAGACATCACGCTATGAAAGTAACTAAAATAAACTAATCTAGCTGTCTCAACATCTGTGAAACTTCTAATCTTTCATACAGCATATGCTGCAGAACTATGTCTGCTTGCTAATTAAGTTATATGGGGGCCAATAGTAATACCAAGAAAAACAGTGATATCAACTACAAGACTCAACTCCTCCCCATTTAAGAGCACATTGGTATTTGAATGTTTAACATTAGTTATTGTAAATTTAATACATTTTGTCTTATTGCCGTTTAAGAGCAAATTGTTGGCGTCAAACCAATGTACTAAATTAGATAGAGATAGATTTACATTGTCAAAATTAATTAAATGTCGTTTGAGTTTGAAAATTAAAGAGGTATCATCAGCAAATAATACTATATCGTGATGGTCCCCTACAAGATAAGGTAAGTCATTAATATAGACTAAGAACAGGAATGGGCCAAGAATCAAGCCCTGAGGAATGTCCATTGATACTACTGATCCGGAGGAACCTTTTTCATTGATAACGACTTTTTGAGCTCTGTTATTTAATAATAATGGTCGAGTTTTAAAAAAAGGCTATTTCTATAGGTTTGAATCTGATTCTGATAACGTACTTAACGGAAACCACAGGGTTTTTGTTACATGTTGTATATATGTATAATTCTGAACCTAATTTTGAATTTTTCAATCGAAAAACTTACTAATTGACGTGCTGTTTACTCTTAAAACATAAAATAGCAAATATTATGAAAATATTTCAAAATATATTGATGGTTACCGATTACCTGTAAATCACTAAACAAGACTACATCCCTAACTGTGATACCATTATATACGTAAAGGGAGCGCTCTGTATGATTATATACTACATTTTTTTAATAACTGACTTTAAGGCTGTGGGTTCTAGCCTTTCTGAGTCTGAAGTCATAATGTATAATTATGCGTTTATACACTGCTTCACTTCGAGCTTAGTGTTCCCAACAACTACCGGCATAGGTGTGACATGGACATTGAACATGATCTTTGTTTTGTCCATGTTCATCTTAAGACCTATCCGTTGGGAAACACTATCGAGGTCATTGAGCATAGTGCTTAGGTCCTCCAGCGATTCTGCCATAAGGACTATATCGTCGGCAAATCGAAGGTGAGTGATGTACTCGCCATTGATGTTGATACCGTATCCTTTCCAGTCCAGAAGCTTGAAAACGTCTTCCAATGCAGCGGTGAAGAGTTTCGGGGATATGACGTCACCCTGTCTTACACCTCTCTGCAATTGGATAGGTTTCGTACTCTGGTTCTGTACTCGGATAGCCATCGTAGCCCTACTGTACAAGCACTTCAACACTTCGATATACCGACAGTCAACTTGGCACCGCTGAAGGGACTGCAGCACCGCCCAAATTTCGACGGAATCAAAGGCTTTCTCATAGTCCACATACGCCAGACATAGTGGCAAATTGTACTCTTCGGACTTCTGTACAATTTGCCGAAGGGTATGTATGTGGTCTATGGTGCTAAAGCCCTTTCGGAAACCGGCTTGTTCGGGAGGCTGGAAGTCGTCAAGTCTGCGCGCGAGACGATTCGTAATGACTCTCGAAAACAGCACGTAGACGCGGCTCAGAAGGGAAATCGGTCTGTAGTTCTTCAAGAGAGCGTTGTCACCTTTCTTGAAGAACAAGACCACCGCACTTCTGCTCCACGCCTCCGGTGTAATGCCACCATGGAGGACGGAATTAAAGAGCTTCTGAAGGACTTCAAGTACCGGTCTTCCACCCGCTTTCAGAAGCTCCGCTGTAATTCCATCCTCGCCTGGGGCCTTACTGTTTTTAAGGTGCTGGAGAGCCATTCTAATCTCGCTCAGACTGACGTCCGGGATATCTTCGGAATAGTGTCGGATGAGACTCGCTCTTGGATCGTTACTCACACTTGCGTGTGGCTCCAATGATGACGTGTACAGCTGCCCATAGAACCTCTCAATCTCACTCAAAATCTCAGGTGTCCCGGAAACGATGCTGCCACATTCTGTCTTCAGCTTTGACAGGTGGCTCTTTCTGGCAGACAGATCTCTGGCAAAGACTTTGGAGCCTTGGTTCCGCTCGATCGCTTCTTCAATACGAGCTGTATTGAAGTTGCGTAAGTCCCGCCGCATGCATTTGGAGATCTGTCTGTTCAGATGCCTGTATGCTGTCAAGTCTGTTGAAGAATGTAGCTTCATCTCCCGTCTAACAGCCATGAGATTAAGAGTGTGATCGGAGAGTTTCTGTGTTCTTCTGCGGCGGGTCTTGCAGAACTTAGCTCCGACCGCATGGACAGTTTCCACGAGCTTGTCATTCATATCGTCCACTTCATTGCAGTCTTCTAGGCACTGAAAACGGTTTTGTAACTCGAGCTGAAAGGTCTCGGGACTTTGGAACAGAGCACGAGGGGGACGGAGCGTTGACTTCATTAGACGAGACCTCTCCAACTTAACGTTTAGGTTCAGTGTGCCTCTAACCATTCGGTGATCGCTACCAGTTTTCACCCTCGCGATCACGGAGACATCACTGAACAGTTGTCGTCTGGTCGTCATAATGAAGTCAATCTCATTTTTTGTCGAACCGTCGGGGCTCGACCAGGTCCACTTCCTGTGGGGCCGCTTCTGGAAGAAAGAGTTCGTCATAAAGAGTCCCTCTTTCTCCATGAAGTCGGCCAGCTGCTGGCCCCTTGGGTTCCGTTGTCCTATTCCAAATTTCCCTACTTTCAGCTCACCGTTCTCTCTTGTGCCTAGTTTTGCATTCTGTTGTTGCGTCACATTGTGCCGCCCTTAGGAGATTTTGACGGCAACTTGAGCCAGCAGACAGACACCTTTCTTGAGAATCACATCACCATGAGAGCACTTGTTTCACCGTTTCCATTAATAGTTCAAATGCACAGACACTTAATACACAAAGTCGCACCACTTTTACTTATCAAAATCCACTTCAAATCATTATTTAAACAATAATACAGGAGCAGCAAACCACCGCTGGTCAAGTTCCCGCCAAAACTCCTTATATACTACAGTTTGCTTAAACGCACAGACTAATATGATGCTACGCATCTTATACTTGTTCAAAAAAATATTATTTACAATAACAAAAACATTGTATTTGCAATTAGCTTGCACACTATTTACAAATAAATATGTTTTAAACTTAAACGATTTCTGTTTTTATTCTTTTTTTTTATGGTCGTGAACATCGATCAAAAGTCTAAAATGTGCAAAACTCAGTCTGTCAACACAGTTATTCCTTCTCTTACTTTTCAAAAAGAGACGCTCAGTAAAGATTCGTTGTGATTCCGTAGTTATCGCCTTGGAATAAAGTCTGATATTATGTAATATAAAAATGCGTTTGAAACATTTATTTATTGAAATTTGTACGACTAATGAGTGAATTAGGAATTAATACGACTTAACCGTTTGTTGTGTGCTCCCGGCGACACCGGTTCTCGCACAAAATAAGGTTGGCAGCCATTATATTGTGTATTATAGTATTCTAAAGTAAGTAAGTAAAAGTCAGGTCAAGAGTACCCTAAACCGTAGAGCATGTATGAAGGGAATAATGAAAGTGGACAAAGCAAAACAAGTATGTAAGGATCGTCGCAAGTGGAAAGAAGTGGTCTCTGCCTACCCCTACGGGAAAGAGGCGTGATTATATGTATGTATGTATGTATTATAGTATTCTATAATGACAATACACTAATTAAAATCCAACATTAACTACAAAATATATTAAGAACCATACATTTTGAAAGCATTATAAATAGAAAAATCAAATAATTATTAATGTAAACAACGATGATGACGACGACAGCTCAAATAGTTGTAGGGAAAGTGATTAAATAAATTTGTTTTTAATCTAATGTAGTATTTAATTAATTTAACTTTATCTCTAGAAATTAGCAGTAAGCAATAAATATGAAAAAACCGTTGGAAAAAACTGATAAATTTTGTGTTTTGAGTTTCTAATTTATTCTGGCATTATTCTAGATAAACTTGTAAACGATTACCAACTCTAAAGAATCGATATCGATTTCTCGTAAGAATCGGATAGGTACCGATTTTTCAGTTGAATGCCTAGGTCAATAAATGTGACAGGAGACAGCTGTCAAAATATATTTCTTAGATTTTGTGGAGTATAGGTATAGGTATTTTATTTAGTGTTTTAGAATTGCTAGATAATCACTGATCGATGATAAATTTATGATACATCATTGGTGTTTATTTCTTTGTCGTGTTAGCTAAAGTACAAATTTTATTCATAGCCATTTTAGTGAAGTCAAATTTACAAAAAACGTAGAATTGAATTTTTAGGAACCATGGCCTTAGTAATGGAAAATACAAAAATCCTTGAATTTCTTGAACTTGTTGGACGATTAAAGGTGTTTTTTTATGTGTATAATATATATTATATATAATCCCTTTATTATGTAAAAGTATACCTTATAAAATAAAAAATTTAAATGTTCACAGCATATAAAAAGAACAGGCTGGGTAATATGTGATATTGACGAATGTGAATCAATTGCTGGCCATATGTATCGCATGGGCATAATGACATTTTTACTTACCGAAGAAAACAATCCCACCAAGCTGGACCGTTTTAGATGTCTGCAAATAGGTAAAGTATTTTTATTGGTTCCTAAGAAATATAATTAAAGTAGTTACATATGGAGTGTAACTCAATTAAAAATTATATATTATTACATTGGATTTGTATTGTTTACTACTGTTACTTATTGATTTAGCAAGAAAGTTACGAAATAATTAACCACAGGCAATATTGATTACTTGTGCTAATGGTATTGTTACCCAACCCACGAAACCACAAGTTATATTATACCGATATTATTAGAATTACCTATTGTGAATAAACAGATAACATTCTTAAAAAATGTTTTTGACTGGAATAATTGTTGTATAGTCGCAGTGTAAGTGAATTCACCACCCCATATCATACAGTGGACATTTTAAGAGGTAACAATGAACTAGTATAATAAATAACATTTAGAAATAATGTTTATCAGCAACCAAATATATTTAAATACAAAGGAGCTCTTCTGAACTACGTGAGCACCTGAATCTTGGGATTAGAATTAATTTAGAAAGTATTGATTATTTTAGGTAATTTTCTTTCATGTTTTGCTAGGGTAAAGGATGAGTATAATTGGTATTGATAGTAACAATTAAATTCCTTATAAAAAATATCGCACATTAAAAGTCTCTATGTTTACAATGACTATTATGTACACATATGTACATTGTTCATTATGTGACTTATTTGTTAATAAAACAAATTAATTGTAAATTGGCTAGCTATAATCATAATCACTCAAATCAAATACAAACAAAATAGCATGTTAAACAATTGGATTTTAAAAACATGGTATCGACAAAAAAATTTTATATGATATGAGTGCTAATAGACACATTTGTAAATCAGATAAAATCCAAAATCAAGCACTACGTATTATAGGGGGGTTTATCAAAACCACGCCAATACACATTATGGAAAGTGAATTAAATATAACGCCCCTGTTTCTAAGAAGAAAATTTCTAGCATATAAATATTGTCTGAAAAGTAAATCTAGATCTAATAATACAACTATTAAGTTACTAACAGAACTCAGCTTATTCTGTAAAGATAGGTACTAGCAAAATAAAAAGAAACAGCTTCTAGCTATGACATTAGAACAAGTTAATAATAGTAATTTGTATTCTTCGGATCCACTAGATATGTTCTCTTTAAATACTTGGGTATCAAGTATTAATATTAAAACTGTAATTAAGGAAGACTTAGATTGTATCAAGAGTGCTAAAAGATGTCAGGAGATAAATTCTTTAAAGTCGAATGTGATCAATGAATTGAATGTTAAATATTTTGGATGGCACAAGCTTTTTTGTAATGGATCTAAGGATAAATGTAGGGTAGGTGCCGCTTATGTAGATTCATTACTGGGTAATAAATGTAAGATTAAAATTCCTAATAATTTGACAATAATGTCAGCTGAATTAATTGCTGTAAATGATGCCCTAGTATATGATGGTACAACAGATTTTCAAAAAACAGTTGTATTAACTGATAGCAAGAGTGCTCTTCAACATATTGCTCGATGTGCCTTTGGTCTCAGAGGTGTATCGATAGCATACCATATATTAAATGAAATATTTAAACTTCAATGTAAAAACTGTAATTTAGTATTGCAGTGGGTACCATCACACATCGGTTTACAAGGCAATGAGGAGGCTGACAAACTGGCTAAATTGGCAATTACACAAGGAAGAGAATGTAATATTGATCCAGATTATACAGAAATTTTAATTAAATACAAAGAGAAATGTTATGCACTTTGGAAAGAATATTTTGATAAAAGGTCGCAAGAAAAAGGGATTTGGTACAAAACTATCCAGAGTCAGCCTCCGAAAGTGCCTTGGTTCAATTAATGTCTGTTGAACAGAAAATCTGTTGTATTAGCAATGTGACTTCGCTCTGGACACATTCCGTGCAACAAGTTTGCTTTCATGATGAAAGAAAAACAATCTCCAAATTGCAAAACATGCAACACAATCGAAGACATACAGCTCGCGGATTGTTACAAAAACCATCACGAGAGGAAACTACTGGTCGCCAAAACTGACATTAAAATGTACAACATAGGGGAATATCAAAGTATACTCTCTGAACCACTGTCAAATGCTGCTCAAATGGTTTATCATTTATTAAGTATTGTATAAGTAATTAAGTATTTTTTGTGCTATTTAGTTATAAGGTACAATGGGACTGACATGTTAATAATAACGAAAGTCTCTTAAATAAAAAAGAATAAAAAAAAACTATTAAAATTAATTAAACTGAGCACAAGTTGATAATGCCCCCTAAGAGGCAGTTTATGGGGTAGGCCTGTGATCAGCATTGGTCTTTCATAGGCAGTAATGAATGGTAAAATGAAGCACTAGTTACCAACCACCCAATACAGTCAGTCTAAAAAATAGTAATTATTGTACACTTTCTTAGTAAAACTCAACTCACTTTCATATTAATAAGGTCTAACATATTAATAAGGTGTTTCCCAATTAGTGATATGCATATGCGAGTTTGCCTGAAGGAGTATGCTTTTGACTAAGGTATGGACAATCCCTTGACTAAGGTTAAATAAAATAAGCTATGTAAACATTACAATTGGTGATGGACAAATGTGCACATTTGTCCCTTTGAACTTTAATAACCAATGCATTTTCACTATCATTAAAAATTTTTGAGAATTTAATAATTGGCAAAATTATGATTTTATAATTTATTGGAGCTTGAGCTCTTACTCAGATTGGAACACCTGAAAAATTAATTGGGAACCACTGGTCTATTCAAAACATGCATGCATATTTTTTAAATTTTTTAAAACTGTGTAACATATACATATAGAAAATTCAGAGTATAGTAAATGATTATTATGCTAACCAGTATTCTGTTTGAAGATAACATCATTAGAGAGAGATGTCACAAAGGTACCAACTATAAGCCCATTCACAACTTGTTTGGTATCTATCACTATTGTGAGTTTTCACAACTTGCTAGCTTTACTTGTCGTTTTTATAGATATTTGACAAAGGTTACTGAACCTTAAAGTATCAATATTCTATATGCTAAAAGTAATGCAACTATTTTCATTAGTATTTGTTATAGCAGACAAATGCATAGAAATGCATAGGATGATAAATACTCTGTAAAATGTTGCAGCATATATCCATCTACAGATTAGTGGATAAAGCAGTAATGACCAAAATAGACTAAAATTAAGTTTGTATAATGTTGTGTAAATTAATACAATGTCACAGTGCATTTAAGGTTATATCTACACCTTCTTCAATCCATGTGCCACCAGAAATTCGACAGTAAGTTATTGGTACAAATACTTCACTGTCTGAAACAGAGCCTTAAAAAAGGTTGCAGTAGCTCTTGTCTCGCCAACAACACAAAGTCAGGAATTTGCATTTAGAAAAAGCCAAAATTAGGGGCTTTTTAGGAGCTAATTAAGTGCTCTACATTAGGTACAGGGCTGATTGCAGTAGCTGATTCTTTGAGTTCTGTATCAATTTTTGATGCCTCTTAACACTAGCTGCAATTCTGCTAAGAGCTAACCACAAAGTTTTGTTGAGCAACTAGGCAAATTAGTCAAATTGTAAGAAAAAAATATAGAGGTAATTAGGGTTCACTTTCTACATGACTATACCCAGTAATATATTGCTTCAAATTTTCTTTTTAACATCAGACTATTAAGCAAGTTCTGTATTTGTGATAACTAATATCGCCCGTGGTTAAAATTTGGCCAATTATATGGAATTCTAAGAATTTGTTGGCATAACTTTTTTTTTTAATTTTTGTCCATGTAGGGAAATCAAAAGAATCTTAACTAATACAACCATAAACATGATGAAAATGCTTTCATTTAATTGATTGGGCCATTTTGTATGGAAAATATATCTCTCTCTATTGACCCACCTTAATGGCAATAATAATTTTATTTTTCGTGCACATCTATGGTATCATACCTTTATTACCCAATACCTCTTAACCTATAAGTTCCATTCCCCTCCTCTCATAATCATGTAAGAGCTACGATAGTGCTACCATGTGGAATATTAGCAATTTTTTATTTTTGTGTAAACCATAAATAACTATAAAAATAATTGTTTAATTTTCAGCACTTGTTCATGATCTCGCTGAATGTATAGTTGGAGACTTAACACCACACTGTGGTGTATCTCCTGATGAGAAACATAGAAGAGAAGACGAAGCTATGAAAAAAATTGCTGAACTCACTGGCATTGCTGGGGATAGAATGTATGATCTATATAAGGTGTGTTCATTTTTTTAAACTTTTTAAACCTCCTTCTCGTCAGTGTTTTTACAGGGCATACAGTCTTTAGCACTGACAGCAAAATTTAGATAACAAATGAACTAAGTGGCCAATATAATGATTTCTTATATTTACGCGAACACTACACATTTAAATAAAACTAATTTTACGGATTTTATCGCGTATATTAACTTATTTTACTTTCCCGACGTTTCAAGCACTTTACAGCACCCATGGTCACGGGGGGGACTGAGGTGTATGACGTCCCAATGTCATAGTTAACCACGGCTACCTCCAGATTAAAAATTATTAATTTTTGTTCAGATCTACGCAGTATGAACTTACACTACTAGTGCTTGAAACGTCGGGAAAGTAAAATAAGTTAATATACGCGATAAAATCCGTAAAATTAGTTTTATTTAAGTGGCCAATGTTTTAATTGAACCACAATTTCACAACTCCCTACGCACCTCCGGCTCTATAAAAACACTCTAGGGGTAGGACAGACTCGTACCAGGTGGAGTCGATGTCAATCAATTCGGTCCTTTGACATGAGTTGAACCTAACCTATTTTATTTGTTATCTGCCCTAATAGGTACTGTTGTGTGTTCAAATATAATTAATATTTTATTAATCAATTTTATACACATATTGTATTGCTTTAATTAATTCTTCGAAAACATCTTTATGCGCTATTTTTATTTTTCTTCACCAAGAATATTCAATGAGCCAGTCTGTGAAGTTTGCTTTATAACCATCCCTACCGAATATCACTTTGATGACAGTAGCAATACAAAATTGCGTCAGTTTAACGTTTCGTTCCACAAGCCGACAAAAGACGGTAAACACTACACATTTTAATTTTAATAGCTCGTAATGAAAATATTCTGTAATTTAAAATTTTCATACGTTAATTATCAACTCCTAACTCGACGGACGGCAATGGAAAACAGCTGCTCGTTTGTCACCCTTATTCTATAAAAAAAAATACGGGCTGTTGATAGGAAACAGCATTACCAATGCGACATTATCGACACTAGGCTCAATGATACGTCGGAATGCCAGTTGACACATTCTTGACAACGCTAATGTCCAATAGGATAGAGTGACAAACGAGCACACAGTCCACCTGATGGTAAGTGGTTGCTGTGGCCCATAGACATCTACATTTATCCTCAATAAACTAAGATGTAATGCCTCTTTTCCAGTAAAAAGGGTCTCCAGTTCTCTACACTCACCATACGAAACAGCAGCATTAAGCTGCTATTTTACGCTGGTATTCTGTGAGAGCATGGTCCTTCCCCGGTCGAGCCGACCCATTTGTGCTACAGCTATACTACTAATACAGCTGCAGCATGGCTCTACCACGTACAACACTTGAGCGAAGGTTATAGGCATAGTACAATTAACTTACAGTAGATGGCGCGCGTATCGTACCGACAAATTTATTTGATAGTTATATTATCATTCAACTTCAATATATGTATTGTCATTCCTAATTAAACATTATAACTCTTCCATATTTAAAACAATATTTCCACAATTATTTCTTCAGCGGCAACAACACGCCAGGTACCAACTAGTTATAAATAATTACTTTAAATTGATTTTCATTTGAATTATAATTTTAAAATATTTAATTACTGCACACTGGGAAAAGGCATCTGTCAGGCAGAAATCCTCCCCAACGATATCCTAAATTTGATTATGGCAAGATTTTGTGAGAAATTTGTGATAATTGGTGACTTAATACTTTAGGAGATTTAGCTCTTTTTTTAGGAGGATTCTAGCTTGAATTCAAGCTAACAGCCTTTTATTCAATTCAATTCAAAAATTCAATCATCCTTAAGTCCTAATGGGGTGACGACAATCTGGTCACTTTCAACTCCGCCAAAACGTAGGGCTGTCTGTTCTCCACAAAACTGAGTCCGTTTGATCTGACTCCTACTTTTCGAGGTGCATCTGTAGAGGTTACTGATCATCTCGAGCTTCTCGGCATACATTTGAGTGCTAATCTCAACTTTGGCGCTAACATTGAGTCGAATGCACAATCTGCGGCCAAAAAAAACTGAGTATTTTAAACAAGGTGAAGCGATACTTCAAGCCTCGACAGCTTCTAACTTTATACAAAGCTCAAGTCCGAACATGCATGGAGTATTGTAGTCACCTTTGGGATGGCTCAGCAAATTATCAACTTGCCGTACTCGAATCAGTGCAACGCAGAGCTAAGAGGCTTATTGCCGACAAAACGCTGGTGAAAGTTAATAAGCTTCTCAGCTTAGCTCACCGCCGCCAAGTTGCTTGTTTGTCGTTCTTCTACAGACAGTACTTCGAGTGTGTCCATAAGCTTCATAACCTCATACCGCCTTCTCCATTCTCCTATTGGAGTTTTTTTTATAGGATAGGGTGGCAAACGAGCACACAGTCCACCTGATGGTAAGTGGTTGCTGTGGCCCATAGACATCTACATTTATCCTCGTTTGCCAATCAAAATGCAGATGCGTTGTCACCCGTGAGGACTAAGATAGAATGCCTCTTTTCCAGTAAAAAGGGTCTCCGATTCTCTACACTCACCATACGAAACACTACTAATATAGCTGCAGCATGGCTCTACCACGTAAAAGTACGGAGTACGGAGTACCAGACGTACTGCAGGTTACCATCCGCACTTGGTTGACATTCGGAATATTCGCACTAACCGCTATAAGTCATCATTCATAATGCGCACTGCCAAGGAGTGGAATGCCCTGCCGCTCTATCGCACGCTCGCTCCATCGTAGACCTCATCTTTGCGCTCGGACCAGATGGAGGTCAAGAGTGAACCCATTTTTTAATTAAAAAAAATTATCACTTCAATTGTGTGATTTAGTTTCTATTATTACTAAAAGGCGAGTCATTTTAATAGTTATCAACCAGTCTAAATACCAGCTAGTTTACACCAATCCAATGTGTCATTTTATAAAACCTAATGCTACTTTGTTGATAGGAATATGTAGTATTTAACTTTTAGAAGGAAATAAATGCTATGTGATTATTTTTTCCCTTTTCTTATTTTCTCGTAAGTAATTTAATGTTACAACTGTACATCACCAAAACTTTGCACGCGTAGCACTTTATGTAACTTTTCCTCTAAGCTCTACCTGAAAAATTAAATTGATATATTTTTTTAAATTAATAGTCATTAATCTTGACACATATCCACACAGGGGTTCTGGAGTTGTTCTATGATATATTATAATCTTCAAGCCAGAATTCTCTCTAAGACATATATTCCGTTGGAGTAATATGTTTCAATCTCGGTAAATGAAAATCACCAATTGGTCACTAAATCTTAAAATAGAAATCACATCTCAAATGCAAACAACAATGGTATTTTCGAGGAGAGGCTGATAACTTGTTTTCAGGCTAGAGTCCTCCCAAAAAAGGGCTATATCTCCTAAAATATTAAGTCTCTATCACCAATTCCTCACTAAATCTTGAGATAATAAATTTGAGGATATTGTTGTAAAAAAGTACTAATTGTTCACATTTATGACAATAAAAGAAAACAGCCTAATATCATAATATGTGTAATAAATACTATAATAGTGGTTTCCTTTGTTATACCGCAAAATACCTACAAGGCTGTATCGAAGTCAAGTCGCTAAAAATATGCCAGGGTTGTCACAAAAACATTTCTTTAGATAATAATGTCATAACATTATATTTAATCAGTATTCCTCGTATTTATTTATTTTTCTATACAAAGATACAAACTAAATACTACTTTACAAAACTAGCTTCACCTGATTCGTCATGATGGAAACAAAAGCTTGTTGTGCATTTGATGCGAGGTTGAACAGGATAAATAAATGGTTAAAATTATAAGTTGCTTTTTTTTATTCAACCGCCTCGTTACAGATACCGACAAATATTTCCGACATTTATTATTGGGTTTTTTATATTGTCTGTTGTTGAATTTAATGACATATTGAATTCTTATCCTTAGTTATAATTCAATTAAAAATCGTGATGGAAAGCAATCACATGGTTATCAGAATTCAATTTTATTTAAAGTGTCGTACAATCTTTCCCAACATTTCAAAATAATATCGAGTAATATGATGATTCTGAGTGAACACCAAATGCGCACAACTGATTTACGTGTACGTGACAATCCTAAACGGGCGTACCGGTACGCAAGCGAAGCCAACTGATACTACCTCATACGTCATGGGCAGGGGGGGGGACTCCGCTCCCTTCATACCGCGCCCCATCGTTACTCTGTCTAGTCGTCCAGTTGACTCACTATTAGTATTTATTACACATATACTCGTACTAATATTATAATTTTAAATTTATCTTATATATTTTCCATGCTAAATTTATCTTATATAATATAAATTCTGTAACAAATAGAATAGAACTAACATTCAATATTAAACCCTATATAATGAATTTAATTTTTCAGGAATATGAAAACCAGAGTTCGCCAGAAGCAAAATTTGCAAAGGATTTAGATCGCTACGACATGATATTACAAGCATTTGAATATGAGAAACGTGAAAACTCACCAAAAAAGTTGGAAGAATTTTTTAAAGCAACTGAAGGAAAATTTGACCATCCCTTCATCCAACAATTAGTTACAGAACTGTACAGACAAAGAGAAGAATTCGAGAAGAAAAGTTTATTATTAAACGGAAATATCTAGTTTCTTTTTAAAATTAAACTAGTTTTACTTTAAAACTGTATAGCATTCAAAATGCTTAGTTTTTTAGTTACTAGCATGGCTAGCTAGACAATTTGATGATTCCAGCTCTTAATATTCAAGGAACTTCATTGAAACTCTTTTATTGCATCTTTTATTATATCGATGATATTTGATGTCGGTTAGTTATTATAATTATGAAGATGTCGCTGGCCGACATAAACAGAATGATTATAGCCTTTGGCATATTCTTAACTGATTTAAAAATGTGCAATATAATCTACATGCTAAACTTTAAATTATAATTAACCAACACTCTGTTTTCAAACAGTTTCATTCTCTTTATTGCTAAGTATTATTTAACTTTCATAGTAGTGCCAAAGTATTTATATCACTAAGAAAGTTACTAGTTAATTTACTCATAGATTTCTTCTTGTTATGTTCTTCATGGACAGTGTTTTAGGTCCACTGCCGAACATGTCTTTCCAATAGTGTGCCTGCTGGCATGCTTTACTTTGAATATTTACCTGCACATGATACTGTTTAGAGAAGTTGGTGAGCACAAAGACATTACCCTCACAATGGTATGTGCTGCTACCCTAAACTAGACTTTATTTCTTTTAAGTATGCAATTCAACATAAACCAGATGTCATATATGTGTTCATGTGATAGTATCTAAACAATATTCTTCGTTGTAATATTCACAACTACTTCAATTCATACTTAAACATGAATCACCAATGAAAAAAATATTTCAACACTTATTAATTGTTACGTTTTTATATGTTGTATTTTACGGCGATTACTTAATCACAAATTTTACAATATGGATTAATATTAAAAATAAAATTTGAACCGTATGTACTTATACTTAGGCCCTGCACAGACTATGGACAAAATATAGAATCGGCAATGTAGGAACCTAAATGTTGTGACCAATTTTAGGGAAACCTGCATTTTATGCGTGTAGTGACAGAATTCGGGGAAATTCGGTATGTTCTGTTATTGAATTTGATTGGTTCTATTTTACCGAATAAAAAATATATCCCAACAGTGGCCTTAATATTCATTATAATTAATTATTTATTAATCTAATAAGTTGCAATAGTATTATAGGATATGCTTAAATAAGCAATTGGCGTAATATCCATTCCCACTAGCTAGTACGGCTATAAATAATTTAATGAAAATAATTAAATTTATATTTTAGTAGTTACCATTATAAGCCCCGCACGTTGATATTGCGATGGAACCTTGTCATAATAACAGCTGAGTGACGTCATCCACCGCAAAAAAAGTACAGACAACAAAAAAGCTAATATTCATTTCGTGTGAGGTGTTGCCACCTCTTGTGACAAAAGTTAATAACCTAGGGTAATAGGTATTTATATCATATACATATATGTATAAGTATTTAATTATAAATATTTCCTATTAAATTACGTACTAATATAATAAACGTAAAAGAAGAAGTCTTATCTTTTTGATACGTTTTCATTAAACCTCTGAACCAATTTTAATGGGCTACTAATAAATAAAACCAAGTATTAAAAATCGATGTTTATTAATACAATTTAATAATTTTAGACTAATTCTTCAATTCCACTCATATTATCATCTAAATCAGAACTAGTTTCAGTCCGTTGTATCTAATTCACTGTCGTCTGCTGTATTGATGATAAATAATTCGTCAGTTATTCGGTCTTTACGCCAGTATTTTTCTTCAAGTCTCTTCACGTGATTAACTTCTTTCGTCCAATCATCTGGAGTTATTGACGCCAACGCCTCCAAGGTCAAAGATTCAATTTTACTTTCTAATTGTTCTATATTCTTTTCTGAAACTCTGTTTGACTAAGTTCCAAATATATTCGATAGGATTGAGGTCGCAGTTATATGGTGGCAATCTTACTACTTCATGGTCATAGTTGACCAACAATTTGTCGATTTTATAATTTTTCGGCGGTTTATGCTGTATTATTAATGAATATAACTCCGGTTTAGTGCAATTATTTGAAAAATTGATGTTGTGAGCTTGGAGCCACTCAACATCTCTTGTTTTCTAGGATTCATAATAGGAGGTTTATTTTCTTCCTTACTATGATAAGGGGCGGGGTAAGGTTTAGAATCAAGTCGCCTTAATTAGGGGGCGAGGGGTAGATTCGCCCCCCCCCCGCACCTTTTTTCCCCGCCGGACGTGCGTATTTTTTTATTATATATCGAACATTGACATTTTTGTTAAATTATTTCTGAGAAAAATTGCTTTAATAGGAAGGGGGGGTCCTCCCTCCGCCAAAGTAATATCAAGCGGGGCTCCAATTTCTGGATGGTTTATTAAAAAATAACAACGAAGGGGATGGAAGAGTCTGTTCGCTCGCTCACTCGATCCCGCCATCCCCTTGTAATCTAACCTGTCCGAGTCGGAGTGCCCCAAGTTCCGAGCTCGCTTCACTCGCTCTTGCACCAAATAAAACACCAAAATGTTAACTTTTATAATTACTTTAATAAGTACACATATTTTATTACTTCCGCCATTTCTAAAAATGGAATCTTTATTATATTTCATAACGTTTCGCCTCTACAAGTACTCCACTATTTCATCATCAAAATTCTCAGGCTTATTGTAACTATCTTTTTTAAAATAACGCTTCACGGCTCTTCATTGTGACTCAATCCTTTGTGTGTGAGTTCCATCTGGAGCCACAAATAGATTGTCAGGGTCCGAATGGTTGACTTTCTTGTGGGTGTACCCATGTTCCGCTAGGCAGTCATATGCTCTCCAATAATCTGTGTGAATTGTGGTGCCAGTTTCCGTGTGTTTTTGAATTAAGGGCACTAAAACCTCAGCATGACGTACATTGTCAGGGCACACTTCTAGTCGCAGATTCTCAGACCCATCTTCAATCATACACCCATCCATCCTCTTTATTGAAATTAGGATGTTTTTTAATTTCCATAGCCTCGCGAATCATCCTTGGTAGGAATCGGTGTTCTTTTGCGAGGATTTGTGGTTTATCAAATCTAATGTAATGGCGGGGACGATCTTGAACATGTTCACAAACTGCAGACTTCCCGATACGTCGGTGCTTAGTCCGTCGATTCAGTCGCAACTCCACCAAACCCTGAACTCGTAGATGGCCCGGATTCCGAATCTCAGTCATTTGCCGCAATTGCTTGCAAGTAATTATAATCAATGTCCAGTGAGTAAGCCAAGGTCGTCTAGAGAAGCAATCAAATCTGTGTCCAAAAGCGTAGCAAAGTTGTCGTAAAATAGCAAGCAATCGGTGTCCAAAGGGGCAGCGAAATCGTCGAAAAACAGGAAGCAGATGATAACAATAAGGAACACATTCACGTAAACTCGGAAGCAACGGAATGACGCTTATGACGCGAGTCGCGAAGTCGAGTATATCTGTCGGGTATGAATTAGTGATTTATGAATATTAAAAAAAAATATTTTAAAATTTTGTCACTGTGGGGAGGTCAGGGAGGCTTCCCTTGACCTCTCCACAGTGACAGACTTCTCAAATTCAGGCGACTTGATTCTAAATCCAACCCAGGGACGTTGTCCATTACTATAATTGAATTGCTTGGTATGTTGAGTATCAGTTTTTCAGTCAGCCACAGAAATTCTTAGCGTTCATTTGATCGTGATAGTCCCCGGTTTTTTGTCTGTTTTGTCTTAAACATTAAAAGTGCATTATCTACAAAACCGGTTTCACTTCCCGCGTGCACTGTTATCCATCGGTGGTCAGGACTATCATTCCTTCTCACTCCAATATCGGTTGGTGTTTTCCAAATTTTTTTTTTTACATTAAAATTGACAAAAAAGTACTTTGCGTACATCCGCTCGATAAAATAAAATGATGTGTAATCCCTATTAGTGGTGACGGGGATAGTGCACGAAATTGAAGTAGGGCGGGAGGTGCTCTTCAAATTAGGTAAGACACATAATTTTATTTTATCGAGCGGATGTACGCAAAGTAATTTTTTGTCAACTTTAATATAATGGACTTCCGCAAAGTAACGCCTGATTCTATTAATTATTTTTTTTACAGTGTAGTGTGCGTGTATCCATGTTTCATCGAGATAGATAACAGGTTTTTTGTTTGCACCTAGGAAGTCACTGTCTTTCATGCAGCGAAAATATTTAGCTCTCCACGCTTGAATTTGGGGTATTTCTATTAGAGACAGTCTTTTCTGGTAGCATCTTTTAAAATGATATCTTAAATCATTTTGATTATTTTTCTTAATGTTGTTTCACTTCATGTATAGTTAATGTTTTTTTTTTTTTGAGCTGCCATGATCTTGCGCATTGTAGGTATTTTTTTTTCTCACCGTATACATAAAATGAATTATATTTCTTAATGATGTTAAAGAAAATCCGTAGAAATATTCCTTTCTGTCTCTTTGCTTTTGTAGGAGTTTTCATTCTGGTGCTGTTACAGATTCATGCTCTCGTCGTAATTTTGTCACTATATTTTTTGCATACCCGTAACACACGCCACACGTTCCGTCACTTTGGTAGAATTTTGTAAAAAGATTTAAAATGTCAGTCACAAGTTGCTTTGAAATTAACATGGCCTCAGTAGTGTCCGAAGCATTTTTAGAGCACGGTTTATATTTTAAATCAATAACTTAGAGTCCTCTTTCTCCTTTACAAAAGAATGGTCCACTTTAATAATCATTTCACGAGCACGGCTGTTAATTACTTTCTTACATAACAAATTATTAAAAACAAAAATAAAACAGGATAACGAAAATAAAAAGCTATAAAAACAGGTGGTAGAGATACTCTATACGCGTAAGCGCTGACTGACCTTGCGAACGGTACTGACAGTTCGACTACGTTACTAAGATGGCCGCCAGTCGGAATATCAAACGTGCGGGGCTTATACAACATTTATTTATAATTTCGTACAGAGTGAAACTGTACATTACACTAAATAATGTTCTGCTAGAGGACTATCAAAAAATTTACTTTTTTTTAAATATTGGCTATAAAAATAAAGCAGAAGATAATTTTTTTCAATCTGTA